TATGGGCCAATTTTCAATATTCTGTATGACAAAAGGGCCACAAAATACCATTTAAAATAGTAAATAACATAACCTAAAAATTTCGATAGCCATCTATTGCAAAAAAAAATGGAACTTAGTCCCTTTCCACACAAATTTTAATAGTGATAAATTTTTCTTTTGGTCAAATAATTTTTCATACTACAGCCACCAAATATTTTTTTTGGCCAACAAAATCAAAACAGTTTAAACCATAATAATATTTTAACAATTCGTTTTAGAGGGCCGCACCAAAATAAGAAAATGGCCGCATGCGGCCCACGGGCCGCACTTTTGACATCCATGCTCTAAATGATTTTAACTTTGAAAAAAATTTCTTTGAAAACGTGCTGTAATTTTACCTAAACATTTGAGATTTTAAAAAATTTTAATTTAGAGTAATTGTACCGAAAATATTACACAAAGTAAAGTATTTGTGCCAGACAAATTTCATCTGAAATTCACAATTCATTTTACAACCGATATACTTATACTTTTGAAAAATAATATTCATTAATTATTTAGAAATTTATTTGATCTTAATTCAATTTTAACATTTTCAATTATGGAATAAATTAAATGAATAATTAAATTAATAAAATATCTTTAAGTAATTCTAAAATTTCAAAGAATTAAATATGAGAAATTCTTCTAAAATTTGAAAAATTAGAAAATTTATGTAATTAGTTAAGAGCAAAGATTCAAAATAAATTTCTCCAAAATCAAAATATTTTAACCACAATATTGGTAAAACACAAAATTTTTAAAAGATTTTTTGAAAAAATTTCATTTTAATTTTATTTATATATAGTTTTAATTTAATTATTTTTTAATAATAAATTTTTTTCTTTATAAAATATTAAAATATTTTCATAAAAAATTTCCCTTCCTCATATTTTCATCAAAAAATAATAATTAATTCAATAAAATTTAAAAAAAAATATGAAAATAAACAAAATATTTTTCGAAAAAGGACAATAAAATAAAAAAAAATTTCTTTTCAGTATTTTACCAAAAAAAAAACAAAAAACACAAAAAAATAAAGAAAAAACAGCAATAATATGCTTGAATGAATTAAAATTAAATTTTATTTTATTTTTAAAGTGTAGGTCAAGTGAAAAATATTTAATCTTAATTTATACAAAAAAAAATAAAATATAAAAGAGAATTAAAATCTTTACTTTATTTTTTTTTATCATATTTAAATAATTCAATTTGTATCCTTTCAAGAGATATCAAACACTATTCGTCCTTTTATATTTTTTTCTCTGTTCAAGAATTTTATTTATAATCTTTTTATAAAGTCTTAGAAAATTAAAGTAAAAAATCATAAACTTGATTATCTACCAAAAGATTTTGTTAAAATGAATTTAAAATTACGGGTATTACGGGTATTCTTATATTTTGTTAGTTACAAAATTTGTTATTTTAAAATTTTTCAATAAAATATGAATATGGTATGAGTACAATTCTCGAGTCTCTACTGTATAAATAGTAATTGTTGCATAAAAATGAAATAAATTAAAAAAATATTTTGTTAAAGTTAATTGCATTATCATTACATTGCTCTATGTTTTATTAAAAAGTTTTTATTTATTTAAAGAATAATTTAAAATTCACTTACAAAAAGTTTTGCAGTATTCAGTTAAATAGTGTAAACTATTTTGTATAAGAAAAATTTAATTGAAAACAAGTGAAGTAAAAGAGACCAAGAAAATGGCAGGTCACCAGTTTAAATTCAACAGTTGGTGAGAAATAATATTCAACAGTCTATTATGGTTCCTGAGTTTTTCAATTCAACGTCGGGCATTTTTGAATTGATGGGACGAAATTATTTTTGCTTGCAATTGAACAAGAAAGGTTTCTCTAAATTTGTTTGATGGCTACACCAAAACTAAAATGCTAATCTTAATATAATTTTTTGGAAAACCTTAAAATAATTACAAATGATTAATATTAATTGTAAATAATTAAATCACAACATTTTTCGTAGCATTGCAAATTTAATTACTTTTGTTTTTGATTGAATATATGTATGTACATACATATTTGAAAATTTAATGTATAGTTTTTAATATACATACATACTTACATTAAAATAAAACTGATCCAATTCGGAACTTCAAATGCATTCCGTATTGAATTCATATTAATGTCTTTATTTATTAATTAATTAATAATTTTTACACTAATAAACTTTTGTAAATTAAAAATTAAACACAAAAATGACGTTTTGTATAAATTTTTAAATTTTTATTCACAATATTTCGAAACAATTTGATGACAGCTTGTTGAATTCACGCTATTGGTAATGTTTACACATCGTTACTTTAGAATTTACAAAATGAAAAAAATCATGATCAACAATAAATTTTTATATTAGAAAAATTGTCATTTCTATGGTTGAAAACTTTGTTAAAATTCCAATGTTTAAACATAAAAATTTTTAAAAGTGTACATATATTATTAAATTAAAAGAAAAATATTTTTATTATGTCAATAAAAAAATAAAAATTTTCTCCACTTAAATTCAGTTTAAATTTATTAAATTGCTTACAATTTATTGTCATATAAAATAGTTTTTATATAAATTTTTCAGAATTATAATAAAATAAATTTTCATATTTATTTCGATTTTTAGTTTTTCACCTACCAAAAACAAATGTTTTCTTTTTTTGTTTTATATAATAAAAAGATATTCGAATAAAAAAAAATAAAAAAAATTAAATAAAATTTTCAAAAACAGAAACTTTTTTCACTTAAAAAATCATTTCTTTGGTTAAATTCCATTTCCCATCTACTCTGATGATGGATAAGGATGTCAAACAAAAGATAAAATACCAATAATAACAAAATATAAAACAAAATATTAAAGGAAAGAATATAATCTTCTTTTGTGATATCCTTTTCTTTTCTTTTATTTTCTTTTAGTTTTTTTTTGGTTTTGTCTCTTTCATTCTCTTTTCCTCTTCTATCTTTTTAACTTATATACAATTTGACATCCTTCGAAAATACAATAACTTAATTTAAATTGAAAATCTGTTTAGAAAATCATTTTGCCCCAAAATAAAAAAAAGAATTTCAATAAGAATGTTCAGATGAACATGTAATGTTATAATATATAGATATAATTATATATATATTTTGTATATAAATGATTTGTAATTTATTTTGATTGAGCTGACCTTCTTGAAATTCTTTTGAATTGATTTTAAATTGATGTAATATAATTTTATTTATCTGTGACTATATAAATATACTTAAATACGATACTAGACCACAGACATCAATAATATATAGAATTGAAATATTTAAATTGTTAAATATAATATTTTATACTATATAAATATATTTTTTAATCGTATTATTGGATAACCATAGAATAAATCAGAAGATCAAAAGACTGTCTTATAAGAAGAAATTTATATAAAAAAAAATTTAAATATATACATAGGTATGTGTTTTAAATTTCTTATCAATCAAAAATCTAAATTAAAATTCATTTATTTGTTGAATGTGTTAAAGTAAAATGAAATAAATTTGTTTCGTTTTTGGTATAAATTTGTTCATTTTCATATATAATTTAACATTTTTATATAAAATGTATTAATTTTATATAAAACTACTATAACACTCTATATCATCAACTATTTAAATCACACATTTACTCGTTTCAAACTCTGAGTTTTTTCGTAAATATTTTTAAGTTTATATTGTTGATTTTTACTACCATAGAGTCACATTTACTTATTTTTTCATAAATGACTCTTACATACATACGTTTAGTTTCACACACAAAATTTGTGGCCAAAAAAATTTTAAATGTAATGTAAACCATTGATGCAAGAGTCTTTGTGTAAACGCAGATATAATAATAGATGACATTATACAGCAAAAAAATATATATGTACGTATTTAAAATTTTTTTTGTATAGACGAATGTTGTGTATATAACCGTAAATTATACAAAAAGACTTCAAAATTATGAAACAACTTTTTTTCTCAACATTTTATAAATGGAAAATATTGAAACTTTTTTTTTATATTTTATATAAAAATTTCTAAATAAACTGTAAATGAAGATGAAATTATATTAAGAATATCAAATTTATCAAAAAAAAAAAAATAAATATAATAAACTTACGTAACACACACATATACAATTAACAAATATATTTTATCTATATGAACTTTGACAAAGTATTGAAAAACTTTACCACTTCATTTTCGTAATTTTATCGTATTTTTTTTATGTGCCCCTTTAGGCAAACAGAAAAAGTAAAGAAAAAGTTTCCTCTACTTTAATTGTATTTCTCTTTTCTTCTTATTCTTGATAAGTTATAGAACAGAAAAAATAACCAAAAAAAAAGCAAAAACTAAGAAAACATCTTAAAATACTAAAATTGTCACAATTGAAAGTTAATAAATTGATAAAGATGATGTGAAAGTGTTTAATAAAACTTTTTAATTTAGAAATTTAACTAATTTAGATCAAGATTATTAAAAATAAAAGTATGAAAATATGTACATGTATATTGGTATATTATAGCAAATTTAAAAGAAAGGAAATTTAATTAGAAGTTTGAATTTTTGCTTTCAAGAAAATAAATCGTATTTGTTTTATCACAATTTAAAAGATTCGCTTAAATATTTTATAAATGGGAAATTACATTAAATTTCAAAAAATTACATAACCTATCGCATAACCTATCTATCACCAGCAGAGTTATGGAGAGAAATAATTGTGCAAATTAGTTCCGATAGATGGTCTTTTATTTTTATATTAAAATTAATTGTCAAAGTACATTATATTTAATCATTTGTCACTTATTTTCCATTATATTTTCAAAATTGAAATTTATAGATCAGTTTTTAATCTTCTTGTAAGCAATTATACAATTAGTAAATTTTAAAAATTAATAATAATAAAATCAAAAATAAATTTAAATTATTAATAATTTTTTTCTTTTTTCTACTTTTAGATTTGTTCCCTTCAGTTGTTTACAACGCAACAATAAAGAAAATATAGGACTTCAAAAAATATTACAACATTAAAGTTTCAAAATATTTCAAATATTGTAAATATGATTATAAGAAGAACGAGGACAATAAGAAGGATGAAAATTTCTATAGTAGCGGCTGGATTATATTTTAAAAAGAAAAGAAATAATATAACTGAATAACAAAAAAATTCATAAGAAACTTTGCTGGATCATTAAAACAAAAATTCTTTTTAGCTACAAATGTTAATTTTTATATACATATGTATTTATAAATTTTCATCGATATAGTTCCCGTATGTTTATATCATTTATTTGGAATTGAATGGAATTTCAATTGAATTTATATTATAATGGGATTACGTAATAGAACAAAATCACGCAAATTAATTTGGAAATTATTTCTAGAATATTTAGTTTTTACGCTATTTAGTTTGGGTAAGTTTGAAATATTTAAATATCAAATATATTTTAATCAAAAATTTCCATTTCTCATTGAAGGCAGTGGAATTTCTATTATTTGAATCAATTTAATGTCAGAGAAAAATTTTAAAGAAAGAAAGTTCAAATTCAGATAATATTATAAATCAATTAACAATTACGAGCGTTAAATGAAAGAAATTCATTTACAAAATCTAAGAAACTGTTTCGTTCAAGTCTAACAAGATAGTTATTATAAAATTTTTAAACTAATGTAACGATATCGAATATCTTAAAGCATTCCTTCCTTAATTTACACTTCCATACATACATAGTTTTCTACAGAATTTCAAATCTCTTGTGTATTCTATTTAAAAACAAAAAAAAAATTCTAACAATTTGTTAAAAACTATTACTTTGACATAAAATATTACACTTTTAAAATTATGAGTGCAAAAAAAAAGGAATATATATATATATATTTCACTCTGCAATGAAAAGAGCACAGCTAATATAAAATTTATAATATATACTGGGGAAATAAAAAATTTTATTTGTCCTTTGAGGATATTAGAATGTAATAGTGACTATGTTAATATACAAAAGTGTGTATTCTTATTCATCTTGTTGAATTATACAGAAAATTATTGTTTAAAAGTGTAAAGGGGCATGTTTTTTTACTCTTGGTTGACTTACTTCGTGAAATATTAAAATTATTTCACAAATTGGTAGCAATAGTTACAAAATCCATTTATTAATTTGCGATTTTGTACGATAGAATTATTTTAATATTAATAGCTTTTAAATAAATAATTGAATTAATATAAATTTTAACCAATTTTATTTAAAATCAATATTTGCTGTTATAGGTTTTGCTATCTTTAGACTGATATTTTGAATTTTCTTTGGTAATGATAAACAAGCAAATCTAATATTATTCTCAATAATTTATTATATTTAATTATTTTTTTTACTTTATTTTTAGATTATGTATATGCAATACGAAAAGGTAGATTAATGATACCAAATGCCTTTACAGCATTAAGTGGTGATTTACATGTTCAATTACAATTAATAGAAAGTCTTATAGAAAATTTAAATGGAACTTTACATTTAGAAATAAGTAAATTAAAAAGGAATAATGAAAAGGAACAAATTGATAATGTGCCTCTTCATCCAGATCCACGTAATAATGTAACACAAATAAGTATACATTGTTCAAGGATTTATCGTGGTGGTGATTATGAAATTAAAATAACAACTGATAATATCAATGAAAAATTAGATGAACGTTTAACTCAACAATTGGATGTTAGATGGCCACAACCAAATATAACAGTTAATGCAGACTTTTTTGGTACATATGAACAAGCAGTTGATTTTAATTTAACATTTCCCGAAGTTAATTGCGATTTAGAGAAATTTTTTATGGAATTTGATAGAACTATAATAGTACCAGAATTTAAATTAGAATTAGTATTTTGTGGTCCAGATAAAATATGTTCAAATAATAATCAAAATTTATATTCACAACAAAAATCAAATGATCTAGAAAATTCAATAGAAAATTCAAATGAAACATCACAAGTAAATATTTTATATAGTGAAACAATAAAAGGATATCCTAGAAGAAGAGAAGTTAAATTAAATTGTGAATTATTTGGTTTAGCTGGTTTTTATGCGATACGTTTAAGAGCATTAAATGGTGTACCATCATATGTATCAGCAATCCGATATTTAAGAATTGATTGGAATGAAAAATATGTTTTTAATGTCCATGCTAGAAGTATATTTCCATGTGATCCACATACTGGTGTTGGTGTTCTATTTGAGTATCCAACATGTATATTAGATCAAGCAGATCGTATACGTTTATATGCAAAATTAAGAGCCGATGTAATTAGTTTACAGCCACCAACATCATTACATTATGTTACTGAGCAACGTGTTATTAAAGGTCAACATTCATTATATTTTGATTGTGAATTTTTTTCGGAAAAATATGTTGAATACTGTTTTGTTTATGTAAGTCAAGCAATATCTGGAGCTGTTGCAGATATTCGCATGGATTGTGTACCAACTTTGCCTGTTTCAGGTAATAATACAAAATATAAGTAGTGATAAAATATACAAGTAGTATCTGATTATTATTATTAGATTTTTTGCAAGTATCACTTCATCATATTATTTTTAAATTTGCTTTATATGCATGAATAACAAATTTATTTTTTGTTATAGATTTGGATAGCGGCGGATGGGGTAATTGGAGTGAATGGACACCATGTTCAACAACGTGCTCTAGTGGTACACAAAATCGTTATAGATTATGTGATTCACCTCCTCCACGATATGGAGCTAAATTTTGTGAAGTATGTTAATAAGTAAAAAAATATTTAATAATGAAATAAATTTTACAATATTGTCTTTGTGTTAATTTAAAAGGGCTCAGCGGTTGAAACAAAATCTTGTGGTAAAAAAATCATAGATGATACATGGGATTGTTTAGGAATTGAAACAACTACAAGTAGTAATGTCTCAAATGAAGTTATATCAGAAATTGGACCAGGTTGTAGATGTGGTTGTATCGTACATTTGGGTATATCAAAACCAAGACGTATACTTGCCGCTACGGCACAAAGTTGTCCAGGCAGATCATTTTGGTTAATTCAAGTAAGAAATTTATTAACAATTTCAATGTACTATTTAAAAAAAACATAAAATTTTAAATAAAATTTAGGCTGATGACAATAGAAGAATTAAATTTACAATGGACTTTTTTCGATTATTATGTTCCGGGCAATTCATTAAAATCAGAGATGGTGATTCATTATCATCAAATTTAATGTCACAGTATGTTGGTGGTAGTAAAATTTATCCAGAACCATTAATATCAACTGGTACACAAGTACTTGTTGAGTTTGTATCTGATGAATTAGAATTGAGTACAGATGAATGTCGTGGAGGATTTTTAGCACATGTTCAAACAATAGGTAAATTTATCTAGTTTTTAAATAAATAAACAGTTTTTATGTTAATAAAACACTTTTTATTTATATACAAAACAGATCCAAATATTTTAAATGTAACAGTCATATCAATTCGTGCTATCAAACAGAAACCACAACCAATAGTTAAAACATTTACTATTGTTCATTTAACAGCTGTGATATTTGCAAGCATTATTATTATTATTAGCGCTTTACTAGGTGAAAATCTTTACAAAAATAATCAATAATTAATCATTAATAATAAAATAAAATAATTTTATTATTTTAGGAGCTCAATATGTGCTTAGATATAGAAAATATCATTTAGCAATGAGTAAAAGTGATCAAGATTCACCAATACATACGCCAAGAGCATCAATAGGTTCATTGCATCATCCACCATCTAGAGCTATATCAACGTCAACTTTAATATCTGACGTTATTTATTTAGTAAAAGTACGACCAAAAAATAAAGTGAAACATAAAATTTTAAGAGAAAGTATCGATATTGATGCAATAACAGTTGATGCTAGAGACAAAGATGATAATAATTGGTATATAAAAAATAAAAATATTTTATTAAAATTAAATTAATTTTATTCTTCTTTTATTAAGTGATGATACTAGAAGTCAAGATAGTTCGCAAACTTTAACTAATATAAGTATAAGTAATGATAAAACAAATGAAACAACTGATAAAGATATCGATTCACCATCACCGAAAGGATGTGGATCAATAGGATCAAAATCACAACGTAGTTTAAATAGTATTTCATGTGAAAGTTCAAATAATGGTACCGATTCAACATGGAGCAAAGATAGATCAATGGAAAAAGCAAGATCAGAAATTATAAGAAGAAAATTTTTACAAAAATATCGTAAAGAAATTGGTATATCTAGTTCAAGTGATGCTGATTCAATGGAAAATATTCAAGAAAAAACAAGATTTTTAAGTGCTAGTAATGCAACACTTACAAAAGTATAAAAAACAATAATTTTAATATTGAAAATTAAATAAATTAAAAATTTTTTTTTCAATTTTGGATTTTTACAAAACAAAAGGGTTGCTATTCACCATCATCAAGTATTATAAGTACAGCAACAATACGTTCAACTAATCCAAAAGAAAGTAAAGATAAGAAAAATCGTGAAAAATTACTTTCAAGACCAGATTCTGAATTTTCTTTAGGAAATCCAGAAGAATTAGAATTAGATTATTATGGTATGGTAACTATCGATTTTCAAAAAAAAAAGAGCACATACAAACACACAAATCAATTTTTTTAAATCTTAATTTAATCATAATTTTTTTTTATACTTATATACAGATTACAATGTAATTAACGCTGGTGCAGCACCTGGTTCTTATTTAGGTATGGATCCTGCTTATTTAGTATGGATACCACCACTTGAACCACATTATGAAGAAATATTACCAAATTTTAATGAAATAAATCCTGGTAGTAATACTGAAACACCAATTGATACCGATATACCAGAATTACCACCAACAAATAATTCATCATCATCATCATCATCATCATCAGCAATGAAAATTGATTTGAATCATGAAAATGATATTAAAAAAGCATTATTACAAAAAAATGTTGCAGCTACATTATTAAAAGATAATACATCAGCTGATATACCAAAAACACCAATATTAGGTAGAAAAAAACGTTCATTATCAATAAAACATTTAGAATGTGAACCATCTGAAATTATACCATTAAATGAAATAATTATTAATTCAACAACATCTAATACAACATCATCAACAACATATAAAGAACCATTAATACAAACATCAAATTTACAAATATCAAATAAAAATGTACGTCGTCATATTTATAATAATAAATATGAAGAAATTGAAAAGGAAACAAGTGTTGTAAAATCACCAAGTGATTTAGAAATTTATTTAGATGATATTAGATTTGCAGATGATGATACTGACACCGATATAAATATTGTTTAAGTTCTAGACAGTAGACATATTTAATATTTAATTTAATTAATTATTAAGTGCACAAATATATTATGTACATTTATATGTATGTATCATATTTATATTTTATTGTATTAATAATATTGATATATGACATAGATTATACTCGTAGGTTATAATAATTATATAACAATAATGTTTTACAAATTGTATCGAATTTTTAAATGAAACCGTACATATACAAAAATTGAATTAACATGTTTACTAAGCATAAAAAAACAGAAAATAAATTAATTTACAATTTCTTTACATATATAAAACTCGATTAAATTAAAATATAAAAAAGAAAATATTCAATATACATAAATGTTTAGTACCTTTGTATAAAATTAAATTTAAGATGTTGTTTATTTTGTTTCTGAAAGTTCTGCAAATCTGTTCTTTCTAACCGTTTAAAATACAGACAACTTCTACTTAAAATATTTAAATATCTCAATATTTATGGAAAAATAGATTGAAGAAATTTTCAGAAATAGAAGAAGCTCATCTATAAAATAGTATAAAATGATAAAATAATATTGTGCAACTTTTTATGAAAACGAATCGAATTTTAAAATAATTGTTCTATTTTTTAAATAATATATGATTATCATAATTATAAAAAGAAAAGAATCCATATGAATCATAATTATAAAGATTAATAATATCTGCCTCAACATTCAACTTTTTCATAATTTTTAGAAAATTCATAATTTGATTCATATATTTTACAAAAATTTTAATAAAGTTGAGGTACTTAAAAAATTTTACAACAAATTTTAATTCAAAGAATTTTTATTTTTATCATAACGTTGAAGAACAATAAACCAACTTATATGATTTGTTATTTGTATATATTTTTTAGCTCGAATTTAGTATGTGCATATTTTCTGATCATTTAAAATTTTAAAAACAAATATACGATATTTAAAAAGTTGTCACAATTTATTAAAATCTATATAATACATATTTAATGACATTCTACAGATTCCCAAAAATCATTCATATCATTTATTTTCTTCAATGTATATTTTTAAAATTACAGAATTTATCAATAATTAAGATTTTATTAAAATTATATTATTCACCTGATGTATAACTGAAACAGATACACCTAATATTATAATAAATTCACTTGATATAATAAATTAATCTAATCTATAAAATAAACTTTTTGTATATAATTTTTAAAAATTTTTGTAAATTTTATATTTGTACATATTTTAATATGAAGTATAATTATTATTTATTAGTGCGAAATAAATGTAATACACATACATATATGAATTTTCTAAAAGTTTTAAAGAAATAGGCATTATAAGTAACTTTCAATCAAACAAAATCAATCATATTTTAGTTTTAACCTAATTTGATATTTGCGTTCTCTATAAGCTTTTATATCTATAACACACCAAATATATAAAATTCTATCTTATATACTTATGCATGTAAATGTAATTTGTGCACCAGCCTATATAGCAGAATAGTAATTTAAAAAGAGTATGTCGTAATAATAATTGTAGGAGTTGGCCTTTAATTTTTTATTATAGAAAATGAATAATAAGCGCTATGAGCCAGAGTTTCTGCATAAAATAGAGTTTCTTTGTTTGCATATACAAATAGTTTGTAACTATGCTTTATATAGAAATTCTGATTATACAAAAGTAAAAACTAAATTATAAATTTAAATATTACACGTTTGAGATTTATTTTCATTAAAAAAAAATTATAAAGCCACTTATCTTTGGCATGTATGGGATGGTGTAATTTGAAATGTTATAACACTTAAAGTGTGAATATTTTTAATATTATAATTATTTTATTAAGCCCTAAATACTTCATATACGTATACATAAACGAAAATAATTTAAATAATTCATAAATGCGAGGCTATTAAAAAATTTAACTTACGTTTTAAAATTTCAAATTAATTTTTTTTTTTTTTTAAATGTAAATAATTAAATAAGAATTGTAAAATATAAGTGCCGTATATTTAATTTTATTTAAAATCAATAAATTTTCAAGTCAAATATAAAAAGGTTTATATAAAATAAAAAAATTTATAGCTTTTGTGTGCAATACGAGTATTTGTCATTCTTTTTGGTTTTTATTATATTTTGTAATAAATAAGAATTAACTAAGTATTTATATATAAGATAAAAAATATTTCATAAGAATATTTAAATCAATAATAAAATTATGACGAGGAAAAAATCGAATGATCGAAAAAATTTCTAAAATCAAAATTAATTTAAAGCTTTTTTAGAAAATCAAAAATTAGCAAATAAAAATTTATTTTCAATTTTTTTGTTTTTTTTATTTTATAAGCTATAAAGTCAAAAAATTTTCTTAGAGACTGAAAACAAACAAAGTGTTATACAAAATTCCAAGTATTTTTTTATTTTAATTTATTAATTATTTTTAAATAATTTTATTTAAATTATTAATTTTTCGGAAAAAATGTATTTAATATATTAAAAAAATATTAGAGAAAAATAAAAATATTTATAAAAAAAAAGAAATGTGTATATAAAAATATTAAGTGAACTGTAATAACCATAATAGTATTAAGGGAAAATTTATGTAATAAATTATTTATACATATATATATATATAAGTATATATATATTATATATAATATTTATTTTAGAATTATGTACTCTTATTATTATATAAAAGAAAATTTCATTTATTTATTGCTGTCCTATATATATAATTATAAAAAAATGAAACAAAATTCGTTATGAAGGAAAAAAAAATATTGATAAAAAGAAAAATAAAATATTTTCCATTTTATAAATCACGTTTTATTTTGTTCTTAATTATTCCACTCCGAATTAAGGATCAAATTAAGATATTAAATTTAAATAAATTCTTCCAACTGTTTGCTTTCTTTTAACTTCTTTAAAAGTTCAGCTTACACCAACTCTCGAAACAAAAAATATTTGCTATGAGTACTAAAATAGTAAAAAAAATAAATTATAAATTAAGTTCTAAAAATATTGAAATAGCAAAGATCTCTACCTAAAGTATCCCAAATCTAATATAATTTTATCGGTTAAAAATCAAATTTTAAATTACAGATGCATGATCCAAAATACATATATGAAAAGGTTTGTGTCTTTAGTATATTTGAAATATACGATAAGCATGTGTATAAAATAAATTTCATCCCGTATGCGTGTACGAGTATAATATTATTCCTACATCTATATTTTCCTATTACTTTCTGCTATAAAACAAAAATAGCAAAACAATTTTCGGAATTCGTATGTCACTTATTAAAGTGTTACCAGAAATAATTATTCTTGAAATATATTTTCATATAATATTGTATATTCTAAAATATAGGTACATATATATATCTGCAATATAACAATATACCTCGGTCTCGCTTCAATGGTATTACCAACACCGTTTTTTATGTTCCACATAAATTTTTGTTTTGATTTTTTCATTAGTCTTGTAGTTTAGTTAAATTATCCTCTTATGTCTCCCATGTCATTTGACAATTTGTTGAAGTAAAAAACACTTTTCGTTTTCATATTAAGATAAAGATCAGATCAAATACAAATATAGATTTTTTCTCACGATTTTAACAATCAAAGATATTAGTACTTATGCTTATAAAATAAGTAATTTGATTTTGTTTGCTGCATTGCAAAATTTACTTTAGAAAATCAATGCAATTGACTCGAATACTGACATTTTGCTAATTCATTAATAAAAATTTTTAAATTGGAATTGAACATCACAAAATGGTTAAGAATCTAGTTAAATATTATGAACCTATATACTAAAAATTTAAATATTATATAAATTTTATTTAAATATTTTTTATCCTTTTATTTATTAAGGCATAATTGAAAGTTTAAACAAAATGACAGATAATTTTACACACCTGGCATTTCCATATTTTTAAGTTTTATTTTTGTTTTTATATTTTTTTTATTTCGCGGCAAAATTTGTTTTTGTCAGACACTTCACTTTAGTCCTTTTATAAAATTTTAAGCTGCACAATATAGACAAAACATTAGGAAGTTTTAAAATGTCTAAAAGGAAAAGTGAGGTTCAAGGTACACCAAACACTTTATTTAAATATTTTTCAAAAAATTTATCTCCGGCTGTAAAAGATGAAGAAAAGAAAAAGAAACTTATTTTTGAGAAAACCGAATCCAATAATAAACCAATTGAAAATGGTACACCTGATAGCCCTTTGAACGATTCCTTAACTGAATCGTTCAAAGGATTTCCAAAAACCGAAGATAAAATAGATATGGACATATCGGAAGATGTTACCGAAAACGGTAAAATTGAAGGTGGGTACATGTTTAGTACATATTAATAATTTTATGTTGAAAGAAAATGTATGTGTATATATATGTAAGTATAATTTTCCGTAGTTGCAAGTTCTATTAAACGACTAAAAGATGAAAGTGAACAAGAATCTGATTCAGAAGAGGATATTCCGAAAGCTAAGAAAAAAAGAAGAAGAATTATTCAAGTGTCTGACTCAGAATCTGGAAATGAGAATGATAGTGATCATGCTAATGTTATTCAAAAGCAATCGAAAAAGGAAAAAGTAAATTTTATATAGACTTACATACATACGTACATATTATATTTAGGTATATTTTAGAAACCTAAATTAGAAAATGATGACAAAAACCTTTCAGTTTCTGAAAAACTTTCAAAAATTACAAACTCTTCAGAAGATAACACTAAAATAATGGAAAAAATTGAAAAATCAATCAATGAGCAAGTAGAAAAATATGAACTAGATCAAGAAGTTGTATACAAGCATCAAACGTTCGATTTCCTAAAGCCGGACAAAATTAAAGATAAAAAAGGACGTCGTCCTGATCATCCAGAATATGATCCAAAAACTTTATATGTTCCAGAATCATTTTTAAATCAACAAACACCTGTAAATTCTTATAAAAATGACCGGTAAGTTTATCGAACGGAATTATGCTAATTTACCTAATATTTTCAGGGTCTACGACAATGGTGGGATATTAAATCCAATCATTTCGATTGTGTTTTATTTTTCAAAGTTGGAAAATTTTATGAATTTTATCATATGGATGCGGAAGTTGGAGTTAAAGAATTGAATTGCATTTACATGAAAGGAGACTTTGCTCATTCCGGATTCCCCGAAGTATCTTATGATAAAATGTCAAGTATTTTGATTAAAAAAGGCTATAGAGTTGCAAGAATTGAGCAAACAGAAACTCCAGATATGATGAATGAACGAATAAAAAAACAAACTAAGACTACGAAATTTGATAAAGTAGTTAAACGTGAAATATGTCAAATATCAAATAAAGGAACACAAATTTTTGGTTCACAATGCAGGGTAGCACCATATTATCAGCCCAATTATATGTTGGCTATATGTGAAACTTCATTGGATAATCACAGTGAATACGGAATTTGTTTTGTTGATACAACAATTGGCGAATTCACAATAGGTCAATTCAAAGATGACAAAAATTGTTCTCGAATCTTAACTTTAATTTCTCACAATCCTCCGGTATTTGTTTTGTATGAAAGAAATGGGATCTCAAGTAAAACACAAGAAATTTTTAAATCAGCCCTAGGTAACGTGATGAAAGAAAGTTTGTTAAGCAAAACACAGTTCTGGGAAGCTGAAAAAACATTAAAATTTTTAGCTGAAGATTATTATTCTAAAGAAGAAACCGCATGGCCAGCAGTTTTAAAATTGATGCAAGATGAAAATGATCACTTAGGCCTTACTCCAAAAGAACCATTTAAATTGGCTTTAAGATCTTTGGGAGCGATTATCTATTACTTAAAAAATGGTGTTATAGACCAACAAGTACTTGGAATGGCACAGTATTCATTATACACTCCACCCGACATATTGGCCAATGCTCAAGAATTAAAAGATTTGATTAATGAGACTAAAATAAATACAGACAAGTTAAATATGAAGAAAAGTAATATGGTTTTAGACGCTATCACTTTGGCAAACCTTAGAATAGTCAATAGTGAGCATTCTTTACTTACCTCGTTAGATTTTTGCTGTACCAAATTTGGAAAAAGACTACTGCATAACTGGTTATGTGCTCCAAGTTGTGATATAAGTATTATAAAAGAAAGACAAAATGCAATTAGAGAGTTGCTAGACAACGGTGAAATATTACAAGAAATTCGAAATATATTTAAGACATTACCAGATTTTGAACGACATCTGGCTCAACTTTATGGTTTTAGCAACGGAAAGAGATTGCAAAATCACCCTGATGGAAGAGCTATTTTATTTGAAGAACAACAGTACAATAAAAGAAAAATTCAGGTTCATATATTGGTTTTATCTGTATGAATTTTTTTAATAACTTTTAACTTATAATTTTAGAATTTTGTTCAATTAATCAAAGGTTTTGAGAAAATAATGGCTATTCCAAAAATTTTCTCTAGTTTTGAGTCCAGTTTAATAAAAAGGTTAACACAACATGAACCAATTGGCATTTTCCCGGAATATAAAGAAGTGATTTCCTATTTTAATGTAAGCTTTCATAAATAAATGCTATTAAGAATAATTGTTTTTACCTTATACCTGCATGTTAAACTTGTATTAAAACTTTATTTATAGAATTCATTTGATCATGAAGCCGCAATAAAATCAGGAGTTGTGGCGCCTGAAAAGGGTTTGGATGCCGAATATGATTCTGTAGAAAATCTCATTGAAGATATTAAAGCTGAACTTAAAGAATATCTAACTGAACAAGAAAAAACTTTTAAATGCCGAATTAATTACTTTGGAACGGATAAAAAACGTTATCAATTAGAAATTCCTGATAGTCATAATCATAAAGTTCCTAAATCTTACATGTTGGAAAGTCAGAAAAAAGGTTTCAAAAGATATCACACAAATGAAACAAAGGTTAGTTCACTGATTATTATTAGTTCTACCAATTGTATAAAATTTTTAGGCATTTTTGAAACGAATGACTCAAGCTGAAGATAAAAAAAATGCTGTACTAAAAGATTTAGCTCGTCGCATTTATGAAAAGTTTACAAACCATTTTGATATGTGGAAGCAATGCGTTGAATCAACCGCCATCATAGATGTTTTGTCTTCTTTAGCCGAGTATGCTAAAAATCAAACAAACATTTGCACTCCTGAACTTATAGAACCTGAATCTGATCCAATAATAGATATTGAAGATGGTTTTCATCCTTGTATACCCTCATCTAATTATATACCAAATGGAATTATGATTGGTGGAGATTCTGCACCTTTAGCACTTTTAACCGGTCCTAATATGGGTGGTAAAAGTACATTAATGCGAGAAATTGGTCTTCTAACAATTATGGCACAAATAGTATAATTGATATAATTTAATCCAACTTTATTATGAAATAATATTTTTGTTTTTGATTTAAGGGTTGTCTTGTCCCAGCTGAAAAGTGTAAATTATCTGTTGTTGATAGAATTTTTACACGATTAGGAGCCCAAGATGATATAATATCTGGGCACAGTACATTTCTGGTAGAATTAAATGAAACTTCGGCTATCCTAAAACATGCTACCGTAAATAGCTTAGTTTTATTAGATGAATTAGGTAATTTTTTTTTTTGTTTCAGAAACTCGTGGTAATATCCAAAAAAAATTTTATAAATTTTTAGGTCGTGGAACTGCAACTTATGATGGTACAGCCATAGCAGCTAGTGTCGTCCAATTTCTATCTGATTTAAAATGCCGAACGATATTTTCAACTCATTATCATAGCTTAGTTGAATATTTTCATAATAATCCGAATGTGTACATGGGTCATATGGTATATTTAATAAATTATTTCAATACATAATCACTTAACTAAAAATCTTAAACGTTACTTATATATAGGCTTGTATGGTTGAAAATGAATCAAATGACGATCCAACCGAAGAAACTGTAACATTCCTATATAAATATACAAGTGGAGCTTGTCCAAAATCATATGGTTTTAATGCTGCCAAATTAGCTGGAATGCCTCGTCCAATTATAAGAAGAGCATTTGAGGTAAATAAATCATTTTATAAGAGTTTTAATATGAGAATAAAAAATAATGCATATGTTTAATTTTTTAGTTATCAAAAAAAGTCGAATCTCTATCACTTGAACAAAAAATCATGTCCAAAATTTTATGTGATTCAGATGACCATCAAATATTAAATTTACTTACAGATTTAAAAACATGCCAAATTAAATAAGAATTTTTATAAAATTTAAATGTCATTAAAATGTTGAATTACATGTTTTCTTATGTTGTTATTACAATATCAGTATTTTTGTTTTTTTTGTAATGTTTTGTTAATTACAAGGATAAGTACACTACAAATCTCGAAAAATAATAGATTTAGACCTAATCATTTGCCTAATTTTTTGTACAAATTTTTAATAATCAAAAAAAATATGTATGTATATCTGTTTATGTATTCATAATATGTAATTTGAAAAAATTAAAAATATAAATTTTTTTTTTTTGAAAATAATTTTGTGTTTTTTTTTTTATTTTAGTTTTTCTTTCCAGTTTAAGGAGAATCACAATATTATTTTCATAATTCAAGTAGAAATATAAATAGAAACTACAAAAATTTAAATTAGAAACTAAAATTTAAATAGAAACTAAATTTTGTATTTTGTTTTTTTTTTTTTGTAAAATTCAAGTTTTATGATCAAACTATTCGCATATGTATCTACGTATCAAACACTTAAAACAAAATTTTTTCATCTGGATGAATGGTATTGCACAAGAATTGCATATGTAACAAAATTTACTCTACTGCTAAAATCAGTCTATTGTTGCTATTGCTGCAATCGATAGTATGTATAGCAGATATGACAAAATTAATAATTTTCCAATTTTTTTTAGGGGCGGCGAAATCGTCATTTTTCTTTTAAACGAACTAATTTTAATCACTTAATGAATTCATTCGGTAAGCTACTTGCAGTTACCATAAAAAAAAACCTAAAAGAAGATGAACTAGAATGGCTATTCAATCTTATAAATAAATCATAGCATTTATTTTTATCATTTAAATAAAAATTTTAATGAATAAAACAACAAAATATTTTTGTTTTATATTCGACTAGCATAAAAAAGTATATTTTTATATAACATTTGTTTTCTTTTTTTTTTATTATTTTTGTTTTGTCAAGTTTTTAAACAATTTCCATTTTAGATATTTAATTTTTTTCTGTCACTTACTTCTCTATATTATTGATTTTTTTTTTCCATTTTCTTTTTTTTTTTTTTTCAAAACATACGATTATTATTAAAATTTTTATTACATTAATTAATAATAAATTACAAATTTACCAATATGTATTATAATTATACAAATTTTTGATTTTTATTTTAAATTAATTTTCAGAAAATAATTATGAAAAGAATTCATTAACAAGGTCACAGATACAACATCAAATTGTTAACAACGTCGCAGACACAACATCAAATAAATTCTGAACATAACACATCGTGAAATTTTTTTTGTTGATATTTTAGAAGATTATTCAATGTATCTGATGCGTCGCAGCTGTAATTCCGAAGATACCCTAGACTAGATAAAATTTGTAGAATAAAAATATACAAATTTTACTTTTGTATTTCTTAATAAAAAATAATATTTAATGTTAATTATATTTATTATAAATATATTATTAGAATTATTTAAATAGTTTTGATAATATTTTGATTTTTAACCTGAATGTATTTTCTGAAAATTAATTCAAAAACGTAATGGTAATTCGTTTTTTTTATATAAGTATAATTTTACGGACGAACAACAAAAAGAAATTAATTTAAATTATTTTTAAAAATAATTAAAAATTAAAAAATAGCTTGTGCAATAGAATTTTCTATAAAAAATTAATTGAAAAAAAAAAAACAAAATATTTCTGATAAAATTTATTTATATTTTTATTTATAATTTACTATATTAAATTTCATTATTTTTTTTTCTTTGTATATTAAAAATGTATTTTTTATTTATTTTAGAAAATATTAAAATTTTTTTAGTATTCCAAAAGAATTGTTGCCTTAATGATTTTTCTTGCAAAAAAAAAAAATTTATGTATTTAATACTTATACAATCTTTTTATTTTTAATTAATGTATTTTATTTAATTTTGCTTATTTCAAATACATTAATAGCAAATTTTTGGTTTTTTTTTTTTGTCAAATTTTCAAGTTCAATTTGGACGTAAGTAAGTTTTTTTCTTTTTATAATAATGGCAAAAATAATTACATATACTTACTTTTTGTTTTTTTTTTTTGTTTTTGTAAGTAATTCATGTCTTTTCTTTTACTATTTTTATAGTATTTTATTATGTATTTTAATTTTATTTCTTCTATTTTTTCAAATTCTGTAAAAAATTTGTTTTTGTGATATTACAAAATCTTCTTCAATTTGTGCGTATAACTTAGTATTAAAAAAAAAAAATAAAAATTAATTGAAATAAAAAAAAAAATGAAAAATTAATTTATTTTACTAAATGTAAATATTTAAATTCATTATATTATTGCTTCAAAATTGTAATAAAATTGTGTTGTTGTATAACTCAGCAATAAGATGAATTCAATATTAATGCTGTGTCCGGTATTATTACAATTTTTGAAGTCAGCTATATTATTGTACATTCATTATAATTTGTTATATATTAATATTGTAAATAAATTATTTCAAGATTTTAACTAAATAACAACAAAAAGAAAATAATAATAATATTATATATGTTAAATATTATTTATATCAATTTAATTAATATTTTTCATGTATATATATACATATATATACAAAAGTATCACAGAAACAAATAAATATTTATATTTGAAACAAAATAAAATTATGTACTTAATTATAAATTATTATGATTTTTTTTTTTTTTTTTTTTTTTGTAAATGAATAGGATTCACAATACATATGTATATATAAAAAGCAAAAATTAAATCAAAAAAAATAAACAAAAATACACAAAATAATTATGCTATACAAAATTGCTATTTATATATATTAATTATATAATACACAAAATAATTACATATATAACGTATATATATACGTATATATATGTAGGCCCTGATTAGAATTATTACAAAATTAAATTTATATATATATGTACATAAATCTATATAAGTTTGCATTTAAAAAAAAAAAAAAAATTAACTATTTTTAAATAATTAATATAATAATAATAGGAATATATAAAATTCATTGATTTCATTACACACTTACTTAGAAATATTTTATGTTTTAAAAATATTTTTGCTTCTATTTTATATACTATTATGTTATATAATAAGATCATATTAATTATTGTACATAATTTAAAAGATTAAATAAATCTAATAATTTATTGAAATTATAAAACTTATGGGTAACTTGGTAATCGACATTTTAATTTCATTAAAAATAACAAAACAGAAATTTAATTGTCACATACATTGTCAACGTGCATTGCATTGCATTGTCAACAAAGTGTGATACAAAAAATTGTCAATTTAACATTTTTAATTTAAAGTGTTATATCAGAATTTCAATTAATTTATTTTAAAATGAAAATGTTAAACCATAAAATAATTAAACAAAATTTTAAATTACTGTATATGTACATTACAAAATTTCTAAAATTTAATTTAATTTTTTATTGGATTAATTATTAAGAAAAATTAAAAATATAATTATATATTTGTATACACAATACAAGTTACTTGACAATATTAAATATGATCTTATTATATGAATAATGTATTAAACCATTTTTAATATTTTCTTCTTTGTTGTTGTTTTTTTTTTCATTTGTTTCTTCTAATTTCATAAATTATTTATTAATTTAATATTATTATTTAACGTGTTTTTTTTTTTTTTTGCATTTCTACTATTAATATTAATAATATATAATCTTCTAACTAAAAGAATTATTTTATCTAAATAAATTAATTAAATTATTTTCTGTATTTTCATTTATAGCCTAAATTACAATATTTTTGTTTTTTGTTTTTTAATATTGGTATGTTATTTTTGTGTTTTGCTTTTTTAACAATTTATCAAATTTATTCAAAAGATTTTTCTTTTAAGAAATTTCAAAGAGATTTAAGAAATTTTAAAATTATATTAATAATAATAATAATTAAAATAATATGAAATTAATTATATGCATTTTGTAATTTCGTTGTAAATTTAAATTGAAATGTTGGAAAGAACAAATGATATAAAAATTAAAAATATAAAATCAAAAGTGAATTAAAATTAAAGAAAAATAACGTGATAGAATTGTTAGATTTCCATGACAGAACAAAGTATCGTCAAATAATTAATTATTTATTTAAATATTTAATAATAATTATATAAAATAATCTATTTCGCTTTCCGATAATCATTTTTAATACGTTGATTTTTAGTACTCTATTAACAATTATTACAAAAATTTTATTATTTAATAATACTATTATATTCAAAATTTTGATTTAAAATATTTTAAAATAATTCTGAAATTGTCATTTATATAATTACATATACATACTATTCAAATTAATTACAAATTTATTAAAATATTTTGAAATATTTGTATGTATATATGATATGCAATAATATCTTAATTTTTTTAAAATGTATAAAAATTTTCTTAATAATTCTTATATTTTTAAGAAAAAAAAAAATATTTTCAATATATCTATATATATCTATTGTTTATATATGTATATCACTATATTTCATATCATATAAAAGAAAATATTAATTTAAAATATAAAAATTTTTGAATTGTTTATTACAAAATATATGTAAGCATTAATATTTCAATAATTTAATCGTTTAACTAAAATAATAATAAAAATTTTTGTTAAATATGTTAAATTTATTTATGTATATACTTTTATTATATCCATTTAATAAAAAATTATTTTAAATTCTTAAATCTCTTAAAAAATTTCTCAAAAATTCTTTTAATTTAAAATTTTTTTTTACATAATTATATATGTGTATATTTTAATAATTATTGTATAATATTCTTTGATAAAAAATTGAATTTTTTATAAAAAATGACATTCAATTTTGGAATGTTTGAAGATAATAATAATATTTATGTAAAAATACATAGATTAATTATAAAAATGAATTATTAGATTTCTTTTCATTATTTTCTTTCTCAATCATTTTACATATATAAAATTCATTCAATCGTTTATCAAAGAATTATTATTTGATTTTCTTTTACATTTAATTTAATTTTCATTACATTTAAATAATAAAAAAAAAAAAAGAATTATTTATCATCACTGATAACATCTTTTCTTGCTTTGAAACTTCTCCATGAACCAGTTGTACATACACCTGGTCCTCTCCACCATTCATTAACATCATGATACCATCTAGGCTTTTTTAATGAATCCTCATCATGTAATGCTGCACATACTCTACACCAAAAATATGTATTTATAAATTCACCAGTACCTTTCCATTTAAAATATGAATTATATAAATTATCATTTTTATCAAGGATATGCAAATAATCGGCTAATTCTTTTGGTGAAGCAAATTCATCAATATGTATATATGATTTATATGGTGCACTCTTTTCATAATCTTCTGGTCTAGCACCCATAACAATCGGTAATATATTACGATTTAATGCATTTACAAAAAATTTTTCAGTTATATAATCTTTACAATTTGAATTTTCAAATGCTAAATAAAATTTATAATCACGATCTAATATTTCAAAACATTTATCAGCTGTATTTCTTGAACATTTATATGAGCCACATGAACCATAAATATCAACCTAAAATAAAAAAAGTTTTTTTTTTAAATATGCATAGCTATTATAAATTTAATAAAAAAATATTTGATCATCAATAATTAAATCTTACATCAATATATTTTTGAAGTTCATGTGCGTATGCTAATCTACCATTTCGGGCACCACAATTCGATACAAACCATGCAACTTTTTTAGTTTTATTTAATGCATAATTTCTTTCCTGTTTCATTTGTTTAACAGCATCATTATAATATTCCCATTTTTCATATGGTGCAACAATATCACTGTCTTTTCTATAAAAATATTAAAATTTTTAAAAAAATATCCTTTTTTGACATTCCACAACTAAAGTAAATTTAAATTAATTAAAAATAGTAATGGGACTTATTCTGAGAATCGCATAATTTCGATTAAGTGATGTGATAACCGAAACAAGAAAACCGATTCACATCGTTCAAACTCAAACTAAAGAAAATATATTGTAAACACAAACCATTTCTGTCTACAAAATCTTAATTCTTTAATGATCAACATTTTGTTAGTTTGTATCAAAAATATTCTAGTGTTTAAAAACAAAAACAAAAAAAATCGAATTTACGTCAAAATTTATCAAAATTTTAATGACAAAAAAATAACAAAAAAAAATATTAAACTCAATATTATTTTTAAAAAATTAATTTTAAAGAAACCAACCTGTAAGTAGAAGTCCAATTAAAAGCATCTGGAACTCTTACATGTTCAGTATGATAGGGACATTCCAAAAAATATAGCATATAAACTTGTTTACTTGGACGATGTGTTCCGGTGGCAATATAATGATCTTTATATAAAATCATATCAGCTGATACTGCTTTTTCTCGATTCGATGTTAGTTGACATGTATCTACTGGGCATCTAGAACTTATGAAAACATCCTGACCTAAAAATTTTTAAAAATAAATTATAGATAAATAATTTATATTGTATATAAACATATATATATGTACGAGTACCTTTTTTAACATTCCATGGTGCAAGACCATTATATAATAATATAGTTTTTAAACGTCCTTCATCTTTAATTTGTTCATAATTATGTGGTACAAACATCAACTGTGCTTTAATTCGGTCACTATTGGGATCATCTGGTGGAAACAGTCTTGTAACTTTTCTTTTTGTATTATTTTTACGTCGTACTGGTGGTGGATATTTTTCACCACCTTGAAAATACCATGCTCTTGATCTTGGTATATCTGGATCTGATATTTTAATTTCATCATAACTATTTGATGAGAATATTAAATTTGAATTTTTATTTTGTGATTTTATATCAATATTTTTAATATTATTATTATTTTTATTATAATTCACATTTATTTCATTATTATTTTCTTTAAATGTGTCAAATATGGCTGTTGTAATTTGTTGTGGTTGAGTTTTTAATTCACGTTCTGCTTTACTTTCTAATGATTGCTGTAATGGTGATAATTGTGGAACTTTTTGCGTTGATTTTGGTTCTCGATCCCTGAAAATACAAAAAATATAAAAAAAAAATTTAAATTAGAAATAAAATATAGAAAAATTTTTTTAATATTATTATCGAAAAAATATTGTATTCATTTAATAATGAAGTTTTATAATGTAGAATTCTGAGAAAAATCTGTTGCCTACGCAAATAATTACCTATTGCATTTTAATTAACTCTAGATAGGCTAATTATATGATGTATTTTTTTTAATACAAATATGAAATTGCGAAATAGCAAGATTTGGATTCCGCAAAGAATATAATAATGTATATCTTCGCGGGGAAGAATTAGTGCTCTCATATTGGATAGTCGAACATAGTTTGATTTGCAACATGTTATAAGTTTGCTTCGTTTTCTAATGTCATCTTAGAACCTAACCCAACCTAAAATCTAAATCAAACCAAATTCAAATCAATATATAATTTAATTTTATGAGAGAACTGTCCCGGAAGAGCCACTGGATTTGTTAATCAATTAATATTTTTGATTAGTAGACTAATTTCTTCTAATAATTTATTCGTATTTCGGCAATAAATTTCTAATACAAAATTAAATTTTCTGGAACACGCAATATTTAAATTTTACAATTCAATAAATTTTATTTTATTTTTATTTATGAAATTGAAATCATTTAATTTAAATATTAAATAAAAACGATCAATTATATAATTGTAAGTCTATATAAGCTCATTAAAATCCATAAAATGAGTTTATATTCAAATAATAAGCACAAAATAAATGAATACTTTAATACCTATATACATATTATTTTAATACTATATAATATATTGTGTACTCATTTGAATAAGCTATTGTCAATCAAAAATAAATGCAAATAATAACAATAATAATATACAGGGTGATTCAGTAACAAGTTGGGAGCCATTGTGAAAATGAGTAAAATTTTTAATTTTAAAACTCGGTAAATAGTGTCAAATCGAAATTGTTTCGGGGCTACAGGGATTTTTAAAAAATTTTAATATAGTTAAATGCTTGTTTGTAACTTCCGTTTCAAAAAAGATAGTACATAGTTTTAAACAAACAGTTTTCCAAAGGGCTGTTGTGATAAAAGGAATGAACAGTAGTTTTCCTCTTTTTGAAAATTTTACTCATTTTCGAACGTCCACCGAATGCTATATGACTTTTTACTAGTTGCTGAATCACCCTGTATACAAACAAACAATATAGCTTCATCTTAACCAATCAATCATAATATATTTAACTTGAAAATTTTATACTATATTTTCTGGTTTTTATTAAAAAAAACAAAAAAAAGGAACAAACAAAACAAGGACGAAAAGAAAAAAAAATATAAAAAAATGCAAACACAGGTTTTTACTATTGTAATATTAAAATTTAAATTTATTAGGGTGTGTATGGTTTGTGTATGTATAGAAAGTATGAAAAACTTCTTGCAACAGCAGTTCATTTTTCAGTTGTATAGATAGTATGAGTAAAAAATGAATAAGTAAATGTGCATATAAATATTTACATAACAACCTTGACAGTTAAATGTACACCGGTGTCTTTATTATTACATTCATAGATATACATATTTTGTTTTTATATGTATACATATAACGTATGTATATTATTTTACTTAATAATTCATATATTAGTTTACAAAATGAACTCATCAATTTTTATCTTTTTTTTTACGCTTATTCTTTTATTAAAAAATTTTTATATTCACAGAAAATTTCTTCGTATATAATATAAAAGAAAAACGAAAATAAAAAACAGAAAAATATGAGAGAGAGAGAGAGACAATGGCCCTAGAGAAATATTAAAACTTTAAGGAAAAATGTATAATAATAAATATTGAGATTACCGCATATACAAACATATAAATATATAAATTACATATATAATTGAAGAGAAAGAAATTCAATGAATATTCATTAAAAAAAGAAACAAAACTGAAAATAATGTAAATAAACCATTAACAGAATAATAACATTGATTAAAACAAAAAATAAATGAAAAGTATGAAAAAATTGCATATATTACGGCGCAAATGAATTTAAAATTTGAAAATAATGTAAGTGTACAGTAATATTGTGCAGTAGCTATATAATAAAATTCTATTTTGTAATAATATGATCATTAATATAATTTGCAATTCTAATTTAAATTTTCAGCATTTTAGGACTTTAGGATATTAAAAAGACTATGAGAGGGATGTGGTGATTTAGTAAATTAACTTGTATAGGAATAAAATTAAATTAGAACAGGGAAAATTTAGATGAAAAACGTATTTTCCAATTTTGTAATAAAAGTTTGAAAAAAAAAATCATCAAAAAAATAACGAAAATTTCAGGTAGCGGTACACTTTCTTTAATGCTTCTGATTAGATTTTTAGAATGAGAGGAAACGGAGGTGCCATTTTTAAATTTTCATTAATTTATTTAATTTGTTCCGCCTGTTTCTAAAAATTTTTTTACTCTGCTTGAAAATTTATTCGAAAACAACGTATATATACGAGTACTAAAAATTTCAGATTTTTTTCCACCTTGTGCTCTGGAAAATAATTAAACTAATTCATACATGTTTAATATACATTAGATTTCCCCTTAAGGTATACATTTCTAGGTATATGTACAATTTAATTGAGATTATAATTCACAAGATGATTCTTTATGTTATTTAATGAGTTTTAGTACAAATTAAATATCAGGGGTACATATATATATACATATACGAACGTATGTATATGTATACATATATGTACCAGGAAATATTCTAAAATTTTTCATTAAATATTAACTATTATATAGCTATATACTTGTATTGGAAAATTTTTTAGAAATATTGACCCTATCAATTGAAAACGATTAAAAAATTTTGTTATTACTAGAAGCATACATGTGTGTATTCTTACATGTAGATTTGACAAAATTATATTTTTATTATTCAATTAAATTGTTTATACCTTAAGGAGCAATAAACGTGCCTATATATACCCATATACCCCATATACACACAACCACGTCAAGTAAAGAAAAAAAAACTGAAAGATGAATTTAATTTATTGTAGGCCTAGAAGCAAGAATGGAATTCTTAAAATAAAAATTTACAAAAAAAAAAAAATATTTATTTTTTACTTCTACATTCCATGAAATCCAATTTATTTTCTGTTCGTTTTTTTTTTATGTAAATAATTTGTAAACTTAATTTTTGTGTGACTTATGAATGAATGATACTTTTTTTTCTTGGACTTTGTTTTACGGATTGTTTCTGTATTTTATAGCATTCCACATATCAAACCATAATGCTTGTTAATTATATGGAAATTTCTTATATGGTACCTATATATAAAAAAAACAAAACAGGAATTAGGTCAAATTTTTGAAGTATATATATATACAAATTTAATGTTGTATAATAGAAATGGTACATGAGAAAGGATTCTAAATAGATAAAGGATTTTATATTCATATATATAGATTCTATAGTGTCTTGTGCATATTTAATGGAATTTCACAAATCTAATAGATTTATTTTAGAATTATTATAACTAAATGTAGATGCATATTAGAAATTAAATGAAATAAGATGAAATAATTATGGAAGAACTTAAATTTTTTTTTAATTCTTAATTTGCATTTCAGTCACAACTTTAATTTCCAATCAATGTTTTCTCTCATATTTATTTGTACTACATTTTACCTAACTTGTTATATTCTACTCTTTAAAATTTTAACTTCGCTCAATATCTGCACATAATTTCAAAAATATAGGTATTTGTTTACGAAAATGCTTTTCTAAAGCGTTAAGTAATTTTATTTACAATAAGATTGATCCTTTTATCATAATAGTATTTAATTACGATTTCAAAATATCAAAGTTCTATGACTTGTGGTTAATAAAATATTTATTATACAACTTAAGATTACCAAATATACGATTTTTATAAGAAGGAAATATTTAAATTTTTTTTTTAATGCCAATACTACTTTTTTTACTCTGAAACTGTTATACATATTTTAACTGTTATACAAATTTTAACTGTTATACACATATATATATTTTTCAGAAATTTCTTATAATTTTTGAAATTAAATTAATAAAGTTATTAATTTTCTTCATTTTTGTATAATATAAAATTTGTTTGATGAAAACATAAACAGTGTCAATAATCGTAACAAATAGTATAACAAAAAAAAAACTTTCCAATTTCTAATAATTTTTTTTTTCAATAAAGATGATTGAAATCAATTACTTTTGCCTGCAGGGTGGATGCGGTTCTCTTTGACAGTATAATCATTTTGTATGATAGTTTTGTATGACAATGTTTAATGCGTAAACGGTATATGATTTCTTTTTCTTACTGGATACCAAACAATTTTTGTTAATGTGTTTTTCATGAACAACTTTAGGATATCTGTAAGTTTAAATATTTCTTTTTATGTTAATAATACTTTTTTTTACTCTGAAACTGTTATACATATTTTAAGTGTTATATATACATAAATATATATTAAAACTTGTTGAAATAAAAGCAGAATTTTACTTTTTGTTCTTTAAGCAATAATATAATTGAGTTGGCCACCTTTATAATACATAATATAACAAATTTTAACGAGCATGTAAAAGCAGATAAAATTAGAAAAAGAAAATGTTTTTTTTTGTTTTTTTGACCTCCTCTTAAACCTTTAAGCTTTTTATAAGTACTTATATATACATATATAAATAAAAATCCAACATTATTATTATTGTTATATTATGTACAATTAAACCATATAACAAACTATAAATAAAAAAAAAAAACAACAACAACAAGAAAACAAAAAAATAAATGGGTTTAATATCGTATTGCGTGCAAAATTTTTGAATAAAAATTAAAGAAGCTTGAAAAAAAAAAGAAATTTTAAAAAAGGGACAAAAAAAAATAAAGAAATTAAGAATAAAACGTTAAAAGAATAAAAGATTGAAGTCTTAATAAAAAAAAAATAAAAAGAAAGAGAAATTTTTTCGTTTCTACATACAAAAATCAT